ATATATATATATATATATATACACACACAGGGGTTAGAAAAGAAAATGGAAACACCTGGAATAAGAAACCAACTGCTGCAAAAGTGACTGCAGAGCTGAATCTCAGTCCCATGAAGACACTTTTCCAGCAATTGTTTTCCTACTCCGAGTCACAATCCTGTCTTTTTGTCTCTTTCGGTCAGTTGACAATGTCGACCATGCTTATGCTTATCAGACAATGTTTTCCTGGAAACTGTATATGCCGTCATAACCTTTGATACTGTACCAAGCGACCAAGGCAAATAAATTGGCAACTTCAGTCACAGAGACACCAACTAAGCGGGCACCAACAATTTGCCCTCTTTGAAACTCAGTAAGCTCTGACATGACTCTGTATTACTGGCAGCATGCACTGTAAATGATGAAAATTAGGCTTCCCACCTATTATCTAGGTGTCACTTCACTATAAATCATGTAGTGTTTCCATTTTTTTGTCTAATACATACATATATTGCCAAAAGTATTGGGATGCCTGCCTTTATATGTATTTGAACTTCAGTGGCATCCCAGTCTAAGTCCATATGGTTCAATTTTGAGCTGGCACACCCTTTGCAGCTATAACAGCTTCAACTCTTCTGGGAAGGCTGTCCACGAGGTTCAGGAGTGTGTCTATGGGAATGTTTGATCATTCTTCCAGAACCACATTTGTGAGGTCAGGCACTTGTGTTGATCGAGAAGGCCTGATTCGCAGTCTCCTCTCTTATTCATCCTGAAAGTTTTCTATTGGTTGGTTGAGGTCAGGACTCTGTACAGGCCAGTCAAGTCCCTCCACCCCAAATTCGCTCATCCATGTCTTTATGGACCTTGCTTTGTGCACTGGTGCGCAGTCATGTTGGAACAGGAAAGGGCCATCCCCAAACTGTTCCCACAAAGTTAGGAGCATGAAATTGTCCAAAAATGTCTTGGTATGCTAATGCCTTAACAGTTCCCTTGCCTTCACTGGAACTAAAAGATCAAACCCAACCTTTGAAAAACCCCACACCAAAATCCCCTCTTCACCAAACTTTACACTTGGCACAATGAAGTCAGGCAAGTACCGTTCTCCTGGCAACTGCCAAACCCAGACACGTCCATCGGATTGCCAGACAGAGAAGCATGATCCATCACTCCAGAGAACACGTCTCCACTGCTCTAGAGTTCAGTGACGGCATGCTTTACACCACTGCATCCAGCACTTTGCATTGCACTTGGTGATGTAAGGTTTGGATGCAGCTGCTCGGCCATGGAAACCCATTCCATGAAGCTCTCCATGTACTGTTGTTGTGTTAATGTGAAGACCACATGAAGTTTGGAGGTCTTTAGCTATTGACTCTGCAGGCAGTTGGCGACTTCTGTGCACTGTGTGCTTCAGCATGCACTGCTCTCGCTCTGTCATTTTAGTGGCCTACCACTTCATGGCTGAGTTGCTGTTGTTCCCAGTTGCTTCCACTTTGTTATAATACCACTAACAGTTGACCGTGGAATATTTAGTAGCAAAGAAATTTCACAGATGGACTTATTGCACAGGTGGTAACCTATCACAGTACCATGCTTGAATTCACTGAGCTCCTGAGAGCAACCCATTCTTTCACAAATGTTTGTAGAAGCAGGCTGCATGCCTAGGTGCTTGGTTTTATACACCTGTGGCCATGAAGGTGATTGGAACACCTGAATCCAATTATTTGGAGGGGTGTCCAGTGCACAAAAGCAAGGTCCATGAAGACATGGATGGTTTGGAGTGGAGGAACTTGACTGGCCTGCACACAATCCTGACCTCAACCTGACAGGGATGAATTAAAGCGGAGACTTCGAGCCAGGCATTCTCGTCCAACATCAGTGCCTGACCTCACAAATGCGCTTCTGGAAGAATGGTCATACATTCCCATATACAAACTCCTAGACCTTGTGTACAGCCTTGCCAGAAGAGTTGAAGGAGGTGTTATAGCTGCAAAGGGTGGGCCAACTCAACCCTACAGACAGACTAAGACTGGGATGCCATTAAAGTTCATATGCGTGTAAAGGCAGGTGTCCCAATACTTTGGCAATATAGTGTGTGTGTGTGTGTATGTATATATATATATATATATATATATATATACACACACACACTATATATAGCTTTTATTTCCTTTTCTTTATATATTTTTTTTTTATATATATAGCTTTTATTTCCATACACCCAAATGCATTGGGAACACTACACATTCTATTCCAAATCAAAACATGAAGAAAAGTGAATATTAGACTGTTCAAAAAAAATAGCAGTGATTGTATTCTTCTTTACAAACTCAAACATTCACTATATATAAACTGAAAAATGTTTGAAGATTTTGATTTCCTTTGAATCACTTAATTAATATTTAGTTGTATAAGCACTGTTTCTGAGAACTGCTGTACATCTGTGTTGCATGGAGTCAACCAACTTTTGGCACCTGTGAACAGGTATTCCAGCCCAGGACAATTGGACTACATTCCACAATTCTTCTCTATTTCTTGGTTTTGCCTGAGAAACTGCATTTTTGATGTCACCCCACAAGTTTTCTATTGGATTAAGATCCGGGGATTGGGCTGGCCACTCCATAACGTCAATCTTGTTGGTCTGGAACCAAGATATTGCACGTTTACTGGTGTGTTTGGGGTCGTTGTCTTGTTGGAACACCCATTTCAAGGGGGGCATTTCCTCTTCAGCATAAGGCAGCATGACCTCTTTAAGTATTCTGATGTATTCAAACTGATCCATGATCCCTGGTATGCGATAAATAGGCCCAACACCGTAGTAGGAGAAACATCCCCATATCATGATGCTTGCGCAACCATGCTTCACTGTCTTCACAGTGTACTGTGGCTTGAATTCAGTGTTTGGGGGGTTGTCTGTCAAACTGTCTCCGGCCACTAGACCCAAAAAGAACAATCTTACTTTCATCAGTCCACAAAATTCTGCGCCATTTCTCTTTAGGCCAGTCAATGTGCTCTTTGGCAAATTGTAACCTCTTCAGCACATGTCTTTTTTTCAACAGTGGGACTTTGCGGGGGCTTCTTGCAGATAGCTTGGCTTCACATAGGCGTCTTCTAATTGTAACAGTACTCACAGGAAACTTTACACCTTCTTTAATCTTCCTGGAGCTGATTGTTGGCTGAGTCCTTGCCATTTTGGCTATTCTTCTATCCATTCGAATGGAAGTTTTTCGCTTTCTTCCACGTCTTTCAGGTTTTGGTTGCCATTTTAAAGCATTTGCGATCATTTTAGCTGAGCAGCCTATCATTTTCTGCACTTCTTTACATGTTTTCCCCTCCCCAATCAACGTTTTATTCAAGGTACGCTGTTCTTCTAAACAATGTCTGGAACGACCCATTTTCCCTTAGAATTTCAGAGAGAAATGCACTGTAACCAGCACAAAATTTGCTGCCTTCCTTCCTTAAATAAGGGCAATAATTGCCACCTGTTTTTCAAAGAATGAATGACCTCACTAATAGAACTCCACACTACTATTATTTTGAACATGCCCCTTTCAGTTAGTGATTCAATTACACAGAATCAGTAGCATGCATGTCATGACTGTTGGGTCTGTTGGATTTCTATCACACCTGCTAGTAAATTATTTGCCATGTAGAAATATAATTTCTACCAAAAACAGTGGTTGATCAGGTTAGTGATGTCTGACTGCTATTATTTTGAACACAACTGTATATGTATAATACACTACATATATATATATATATCTATATGAAATGCAGCACAGCCATAGACGCTGACTCCCTACCAGGACATTGTATTCTTACAGTGTAACTGGCCACTATCAGAGTACGCTGATGTGACTTCAACTGATTGGCTGCAATTGCTGATAAAAGTTTTCCAGCAATGATCAACATTTATTGGACAGGAATGGCCACACATGGAAATTCAGCCAGGCTTGGCTGAACTGGGCAAATTTCATTCCATCTATGGCCAACTTTAGTCATCCATGCACTCTCAAAGCTCATTCAGTAACTGTACGAATCTTATTATATAGGTCAAGGTTTATGCAGATCTAGTTATTACGTGTTCCATAACATTGTCCATTGTTTACACAGGCTATGGTCTGATATAGCCAGTAGTAGGACGGTACCAAGTCTGCAAACACAGTGCCATTAATTCATTTATATGAACAAGCCTTGCACATACCATGTCCAACATCATGTACTTGGAGTATAGCAGTCAAACCTCAGAAAAGTGGAGAAAATCCCATTTGCAGATATAAAATATCTATGATGTTTAAGTATGTGTGGGTTAAATCCCGTCAGGTTTGTATTGGATCTGACTTTGGGGAGATTTCTTGCACTTCCAGTTTTACAGACAAAACCGTACATGAGAAAAAGTCTCTCCAAATTGAGGGGATGTCCCTTTTAAGTTTTCACCGGAAGAATTCTTCTTGTCTCCTGTTGTCATGATTACATTTTGGAATTCCCATCACTTTTCGTCTTAGTGACAATAGGAAAATGGTGAATCTAGGAAAATGGTGAGTTTCTCCAGCAAAGCCACATACAGCAATAAAAACCCAACATAGATTCAAACCATTGCCTACTATATCCAAAACTAAAGTTTTGAATTAGACTTTAAATTGTACCTGTTAGACTGGAGAGGGCCAGCTTTCTATCAAGGCTACTGTGTGTATAGTGCTAGCTTAAAACAGAAGGTATTTCTATGAACAAATCCTTCCACTTGCCTGAGTAGTCACAGCTTGGCTACAGATACAGCCTAAATTTCTTATAACGGCTAACAAGAGGTAAAATTGCTCTCAGAGAATCAGCCCCAGGATCTCTATAATTCACCTCACTTCAGCTTACTGTGCTACACATTTTAGTAAATGAGGCTTGTTGCAAGGATATATACTTTAGAATAGTAGTTTTTTTTTTTTGGATTATTTATAAATGTTAATTAGTAGAATTTTGTTTTGAGTGTAAAATACTTGCCTTAACCTCAACATTCATTCTCTTATTTTTAGCTGAGCTTTCAACACAAAGTTGGTATCCTGTATTGCAAAGCAGGGCAGAGCACAGAAGAGGAGATGTACAATAATGAAACTGCAGGGCCAGCTTTTGAGGAGTTTTTCGATCTCTTGGGACAACGTGTGCGTTTAAAAGGATTTACTAAATACAGAGCACAATTAGATAATAAAAGTGAGTATTGTGAAACATTTCTACACTTTTCTTTCCTAATGGACTGTTGCCTTAGCTGAACCTTCCTAAACCACTTTAAATTACTAAATAGTAATTTAGACAAAGATTAAAATCAAAATCTCAAATGTAATACCTGTATGTTGTGTATAAAAAGTGAGTGATTGGTACTCGAAATACAAATTTAGTTATTAATATACCTTAGAGAGTCAGTTTGCTCAAAAGGGATATTTTCGTTATAGATGGAGCTGAGTGGCCTGAATTAGCCAACAGCTTCTTAAATATCTTGAATACTCTAAGAAGATCTCCCTTTCATAATTACTGCCTCTATTCCTGTGCACCTCAGACTGTTCCCTTCCACATTAGCATGCACAAGCAAATCCTAAAACAATGAAAATGGAATCGCTCAGATGCCCCCTAAACCTGTGGCAGTCGGATCTGCATGTGAATAGACTGGTGCAAGACAGACAGGGGAAGATTTACTAAAACTGGTGCACTTAGAATTTGGTGCAACTGTGCATGGTAGCCAATCCGCTTCTAAGTTCAGCTTGTACAATTAAGCTTTGACAATAAAACCTGGAACCTGATTAGTTTCTATGTAGAGCTGCACCAGATTTTGCACTCTCCAGTTTTAGTAAATAAACCCCACAGGATCGGCTTGTCAGGGTCTAGTAGACTTCTAGAGCCTAGAAGTTACCTAGAATATTTGGCTCTACGATTAAGCCCCAAAAACGCATCTGAGGAGTTCTCTACAGGTAGAGAACAGGAGCTGAAGCTATCTTTTACCCATCTCATTCATATTTATGCAACAGAGAGTTGGTGTCTGTATGCAGATGGCCACCATTTTGTTGAACTAATGCAGATCCTGTTGCAAACCACAAAGATCAAACCAGTAGAGTTTCATAAAGACATTATAAAATTGTCAGGTGGTTTAGCTCTCCATCATCTTCCAAAAAGGTAACAGTTTTTACATGGTTCAGCTCCAGCGACATCCTGAACGTCCCTGGAGTTTGAGCCGTTATACCACGATGATCCCTGCAGCTGCAGGGATCATCCCGGTACCGTTTTTGTTTTTATTTAGAGTCGACGATTGGCTGTCCTGTAATAGCAATCGGAGTGGCTAACTAGAGCTCAGTTGATATTACAAGCAGTGGGAGGGGACACCCCTCCCCTCCAGCTGCCTTCCATGGCTTTAACGGGATCTCCTGTCCTACCAGGAATCCCATCCTGCGGGGATCGTGGGCTTTCTTTACAACTTACCTTTTTGTGGAGCGGGTCCGGTGTCACCCCGTATAGGTTGCATGCCGACGATCCCCGAAGGATGGATGGGATCTGCGAAATGGGGAGCATAATGGATCGGACTCCGATCTATTATGCTCAATCTGCAGATCCGAACCATCCTGCGGGGATCGTCGAGGTATGCTCAATACGCAGATCCAATCCGTTCTGCGGGGATCGTTGGAGGGGGTGTGTTACCGCACGGGTGACACCAACCCTAGGGACGCCCCTGCTTACATCACTTCTGGTTTACTCAGAAATACATGGCTCCATTTTTAAAAAAGAAAAGCATTTAATCACACCGTTCTCGGTGTTTTTAAATGCTTTTAAGGGCAGGGGAGGGATTTGTGGCCTTAATGACCCCACATCCCTCCATAAAGTGTACCTGTCACATGCCTATTGCTGTCACAAGAGATGTTTACATTCCTTCCGACAGGAATAAATGTGATAGAAAAAAATGTTAAAGCAACAGTGTAAAAATAATTTAAAAAAATGTAAATGCCCCAGATCCCTGTGCTTACACGCAAAGACGAACACACGCAAACAGCGATTGCCCCACACATATGAGGTATCACCGTGAACTTCAGATCATGAACAGTTATTCTATCACCAGACCTCCTCTGCAAATCTAAAGTGGTAACTTGTAAAGGCTATTGAATCATTGCCTGTGGATAGACATTGTGTGACGTCGCTGCATGGGTATGCGCAATTTTAAAGTGTGACATGTTTGGTATCTATCAATCGTCATCTTTTATATTTAACAAAAAATTGGGTTATATATTGTGTTTTTTTTTGCATTAATATTCAAAAAGTGTATTTTTACCCCAAAATTGCGTTTGAGAAACTGCTGCGCAAATACACTGGGGTTTATTTACTATGGTTCACTCAGAATCTCGTGCACTTTTGCATAGAAACCAATCAGCTTTCAGGTTTTATTGCAAAACCTTAATTGCTGAGATTAGAAGCTGATTGCATCAGTGCACGAGATTTTGAGTGAAAATAAACCCCAGTGTGACATACAGAATTGCAAAAATGTATTTTCTCTAGGGCCTTTGCTTTAAAAAAAATTGTTTAAGGGTTTCTAAGACATTTTCTAGCAAAAATGTACATTGCTGCACCCCAACACCTGCTTTATGGAAGCCAGAAAGCCTATATTTTTCACTGATTATGGCTCAGAAGTCTGAGCAAGCTGTGTGCAGGTTTGTTAAATTGCTTTTTTTTCATTTGTATCGTACATATGAGTACTTATGCCCTTCGTTTTGTGTAAAATACCTTCTACAAAGAAAGAATAAATTATTAAAATCTAAAAAAAATAAAATGTGTTATTATACGGTATATTTTACATATTATGTAGCATACTGTTTTTATATTGATATTTTGAAAACAGATATACAACTAATGGTCTCTCCTGAACAGAACTAATTTTGTTAGTAATGTGTGTCAAGCAACTATATTTTAACGTATGAAACTGTAATTATAATTTTTTTTTTGTTATTTATTGTTTTTATTAAAGCTGAGCTCCAGGCAGATCCAAACAGCTGGTAATGCAGTTGTGTATTCATTTAAAAATTATTAAATGCAATTTGTCTAGGAACCTGAATTTGACTTAATATCCGCCTCTTGTAATCATGTATCCAGACTGGAAAAAAATTAAATTTGGTTGCGCACCAGAGGCTTGATGAAAAATATGAAAATTGTTTATTGGTCCATAAATCTAGAACATACAGCACCAGGACTATGCTGGCTGTTAACGTGTTTTACATGATCACGTTCTTAATCATAACAAAGAGAGGATCAGGAGTGCTGTCTTTTATAGGCATCAGGCTGTTAAACAACACCTGCATCAATCAGCACTCCTGAACCTCAGGGACAAATGTACCACTAACAATGATACAAAATATAAAAGCATATTACATATCAGAAAGGACTAGAAAAGAAACAAAAAGTGTATAAAGAAAATAAATTGAATACATCCATTTCCATATCTCAAAACAATATATAAGCGCAATCCCAAAAATCAAGTATGACCATAAACATAAATACACATCCATCTGAATAAAATCATAAGTTCCATACACATTCAGACAGATTTGTGCCAAAGTTTTTCCATTCAAAATTGAATGTCCAATACGGAAAAGAATGTCCTACAAGTGAACAAAAGTGTGTAATGAGGAGAAGACAGGATAATGGAGACAGCATCCTATACAGGGAAAGGCATGTGTGTGTATATATGTATGTGTGTGTGTGTATGTGTGTATATATATATATATATATGTGTGTGTGTATATATATATATATATATATATATATATATATATATATATACACAGTTGTGCTCAAAACGTTTGCATACCCTGGCAGAAATTGTGAAATTTTGGCATTGATATTGAAAAATATGACTGATCGTGCCAAAAAATGCTTTTTTATTGAAGGTTAATGTTCATATGAAGCCATTTATTATCAAATAGTTGTTTGGCTCCTTTGTAAATCATAATGATAACAGAAATCATCCAAATGGCCGTGATTAAAAGTTTACATACCCTGGAATGTTTGGCCTTGGTACAGATGCACAAGGTGACACACACGGGTTAAAATGCCAGTTAGAGGTTAATGTCCCACATCTGTGGCTTTTTAAATTGCAATTAGTGTCAGTGTATAAATAGTCAATGAGTTTGTTAGCTCTTACATAGAAGCACTGACTAGGCTAGATACTGAGCCATGGGGATCAGTAAAGAACTGTCAAAAGTCCTGCGTAACAAAGTAATGGAACTTTATAAAGATGGAAAAGGGCATAAAAAGATGTCCAAAGCATTGAATATGCCAGTCATCACTTGCACTAAGAAGTAGAAAATTCAGGGACCTCTTGATACCAAGCCAAGCACAGGTATACATATTTGGTCCTCACATAAATTAGGAAGATAACGGTTAACAATATGTTTAATCTCATTAAATGCAACTGAATGAAGTAGAAAGGATACGTTTCCTTCTGTTGGAATGTTCTATGTTTTTGCTTTTGTTTTTATTTTTATTATTTCCACTCTTTCCACATGAACTATTTCTAATTAAGTCCTCCCTCCGCTTGGAACTAGCAATCAAATGTGCTCTGTCCAGCATCCATCTGAGATGTCCCCTCTGTAAAAACGTTAATATAATGCAGAAGCCTCATTGTCAAAATCTTGCTGGCTACTGCAAATCCAACGAATATGTAAAAATTGTCCAGCGGGAATACTCCTAATTGTATATTTCATATTTCCCGATTGGGTCAATAGAAGGTTTTCCCAGAGAGAGGCTTCCTGTACAGGCTGCTGATAATTCACTGTTTTCACCGGTCAAGTGGACATCCAGGAAGCAAATCTTTCTCTCATCTGGCCGGTGAACACCAAATTCCTGTCATTGTCATTCATGTAAGACAAAAAAGACTGTAAATCTCCAAGTTTTTTATCCACAACAAATATAAGGTCATCTATGTAGTGAAAAAAACTTTGATGTAACACCTAAAGGGTTTTTTACACCATAGATGTGGGACCGCTCCCACCAACCCTTATAGAGGTTGGCGAGTGATGGTGAAAACTTAGCCCCCATCACAGCCCCACACTTCTAGAGGAAGAACTTCCCATTAAAAGTAAAGACATTATGGGGTTTATTTACTAAAGCTGGAGAGTCCAAAATCAGACTCCCTTCTGCATAGAAACCAATCAGCTTCTAACCTCAGCTTGTTCAATGAA